CATAATAATTCTAAAATAATTAAATTAGATGGAGATCTTATCATATTAAATATTATTATGCTATTATAATCTTTAATTGCTACATATAAAGGAACAATCTCAAAGGTAATATCTTTAAAAGACAACAAATGACCATCTTTGATTTCTACATATATAGATTTAATTTTCTTCACTAATAGTATTTCTTGTTTTCTGACAAAATCTTTGTTTATAAAAGAAGTTGAGGCTCTTGAATCTAATGAAGAAAGACTTTATGATTTTTATATCCTAATCATACATCTATTATGAAACAAGGTAAAGGATCTTAAGAAAGAATAAGACCTTTATTAGATATTGCATATGATTCCAATGACATGGTTCCTATTATAGTTGGAAAAATTTGTTTTTTGACATATTGTCTTCTTTGGCAACTGTGCTCTTTATTTTATAAATGCATTGATTTTATGGACAATGTTGAGCAATTTATTGAGCTTCTTCACAATATAAGTAAAAACCTTCTTGATGAGGTCATGTCTTTTTTTGCCTAGTAAGAGGTTTAAAATGTATTGTATGAATTTGCATTAATTTTGACCTTAATGAATAAGTTTCTAAAAGCTTAAGAATCGTCGCCATTACTTAACTTATTCCTCTCTAGCCAAATATTTTTTCTTAATACATTTTAAATAATTTATTGTTGCATGTAATGGCATAAGTAATAAATTTTTTTAAAGAATCTATTTTTGATATGGTTAATAAAAAAAATCTTTAATATTATCCTTCAATTCATATCAAAATAGATTGATAAGGACTTTGTTATCTTAATCTACATTGCAAGTAAGGTTTTGCAATTTAGGAGCATATATGGTGGTTGATTGTAATCCTTATAGTAAAGATAAGAGCTTAGTATCTACTACTCTTTTTCAATCACTTTTTCCAAATAGGGCCAAAAATACTTCTAAGAATGAATTAAAATCATAGAATAGTTGTGAATCCTTTTCCATCAAAGGTGCAAACTAAGAGAGAGCACTTCTAAAAAAAAGTACGTCTATGAATCCAACCTGAGTAAATCCATTAGAGTATTAGAAATGATACAACCTTAAATAGAGTTCTATTTGTTGTCAAAATCTTCAAAATTTTAATCTTCTTCTATAAAATTTCTTGAGCATATTAATCCTTACCTCTTTTGTACTTGTAGAAGTGAGATTTTTTTAAATATGGTTATAAGGTTAATCTACTTGCTTCCTTCAACTGCACTATTTCTTAGCATAGACTTTGGATTTTTTCCATAAGTATAGGAATAGTACTTTTGTGGTTGGCATTGGTGATGTATGAAATTTCTATCCTAAGAATATTGACAAATTCATGAAGATGTGCAATAATTGTAGCTTATTCTCACTTCTACAAAAAATAGCATTTATATTTTTTTTTCTATTTTAAATAACTTAATAGAGCCATTAGTCAAATTAAAAGAGGTTAATCTATAATCTTTAAATTCATATGAAAATTTTCACAAAGAAGGATGATTTGCTCTTTTTAAGAAAAAATTAGTATTAAAAAACTTAATTATTTGTTTAAAAATAGAAAACCTATAATCTTTAATATATAATAATAGAAGTGAGATAATTCACTCAATTCTAAAATAAAAAAAAATAATAATAAGTTAGCAATTTCTTCAAATTTTCAAAGACATGAATCTTGAAGAATTGAAAGATTAAGACACTCTTATTATTGAAGAAAAGAAGTCTAAAAGCTACAAACACTTAGCCTTAGCAAGGATTGTGGTCTAAGAGAAGTGTGGAGAAAGATGATTCTTACTTCCAACACTCTTTAGTTATAGGTGGTGGTTTGCTCACCAACGAGGCAACTTCCATCCTTTTGATAATACATCTATTTCTACCTCATCCAACTAAATCCTTGATGCCACCACAATAACTTACTTTAACTCTTTGCTGCCTTTTAACTATTAGCAACATGCTATGCTTAAACTCTATGTGGTTGTAACTAAGCAAGTACTTGCTGATCTTCAACACTTGTGTCATTAAAGAAAACTTGAAAGTCACTCAAAGATGATATAATATTAAACTAGAATAGTTATTAGTAAAGATAAGAAGACTAGAAAGTCTTAAAATAAGACTAAGAACTAAAAAGACATTGATAAGAATGAAAAAATCTTCACTCTTGCCTCCATATATACTCTCTAACTAGAAACTACATGGTGATGTTTTATAGGACCTCCAACATATATTGGCTTTAGAAGACATATGTCTTAATTTTTAAAATAAGTTTTTTATATATATCCTACATAGTTAGCTTGTTCTCTAAGCTACCAACACATGTGACTTTGTGATTAATTTATTAACCAAATTTTTAATCTATCAATCAATTACAAACATGTATAAAGTCAAAATCATGTCTATGAAGCTTTTAGGAAGCTTTTGTAGAAGATATTAAGAAGTTAATCTAGTTTTACCTTCTTCTATCTACTCATATAGGTAATTATTAGAATAAATATATATTTTTGTGACACAATGTCAAAAAAATTATTTTGTTAGTATAGTATCACAAAAATATGTTTCGATTTGAAATTTTGCAATAAAGAATAGAAAATAAAAAAATAATAGAAACAATAAGGACTTTTTAGGATTGCATGCATAAATACATAATATCTTTAAAAATTCATCTAAGATTTAATTAGAATTAAGTGATAAAATTGGGATTATTTAAAGACATATAGAATTTTGTAAAGGTATAGTTTATAGATCCTTGCTACAATATAAAGTTTTAAATGTATTCTATGATGATTTAATAGTCTGAACTTAAGATAATCGAATTATTTTTATATAAGATTTTAATATATGTTGCCTAAAACCATTATAATATCATCTAACATTTTTTGCATTATAATATCATCTAACATTTTTTTTTTTTTTTTTTTTTTTAAACTTTTGATACAAATAATTTATTTATATTCTATCTTTAAATAATAATTTTTAAAAATATAAAAAAATAATATTTTTTTGGCTAAAAAAAAGTTATGGATTTTTTACATGGTTTTTTATTTGTTCATTTTGTTTAATTGTGGGATTTTATTGAATGCCAAAAAACCTCATATCATAAATCACAAATTTGAATTTAATATTTTTTTTATAGAGACATATAAAATTTTAGCAACGTTTCTAAATTTTATATAGTAATATTTCTTAATATTATAAGTTTATTTTTTATTATTATAAAAATTTAATTAAAAAAAAAAAAAAAAAAAAAAAAAAAAAAAAACAATACATCAAATGCATTCTTATCAAATAGATTCAATAATAGGTAGTATTATTTATTAATTAGATAGCTTATGCATCAATATTTTAATTGGTATTCATATTATGTGTATCTATATATATATATATATATATATACATATATGCAAATTATTCTTAATAAAATTTGTTGATTGTATTGCTAGAATTATTTTGTTAGAAAAATTTTATAACAAGAATAAATTTTTAAATGTTGTAGAATAATATTTTAGATTTGTTTTGAAAAAGATATAAAACTTTATATTTTTAATAATACTCCTATTTTTAGAAAGATACAAAAGAAATAAATAAAAATTTCTTATTTCAAAAAACTATTCATATGTCTTATAATCTTTGCTAAATGTATCGATTTTTTTAATTTTATTATTATCCCTAAAGTGGTTTGTAGGCCTTCAAAGCCAAAAATAACAAGTTATACTAAAATTTAATATTTACTTGTAGGATATTTTAGTAAATATTGTTAAAAATAGTTAAATTTGCTATCAAACATAATATTTTTTTTCTATCAAGTTTGCTAAGTAGTAAGTATTTGCTGCAAAGTTATAAATTCAAATACATCAAGTTTTTAGATTTAGTCATAAAATTAATTTTTTTAAAAAGAATTTTTGAAAATTTTAAAAATTAAATTAAATAAATATAAATATAAAAAACTATTGTTAAGATCGAAAAAAGCTTGTAAATTAGAAGAAAGAAAAAAAAAAAAAAAAAAAAAAAAAAAAAAAAAACCAAGATTTAAGAAAAAATAATATATTACTAAATATAGTATTACTAAATATAATATTATTCTTATTCTAATATATATATATATATATATATATATATATTACTTACAAGGTTAGAAGCTTGTGGTCCAATTTTATAATAGCTTTCTAACTAGACTATTAGTAAAAGCTTTAAAATATGTCTTGATAATCAAACAATTGAAAGAAGGTTTTTAATAAGACTTGACTTTTAATTTTTTTTTAAATAATTTTAGGAATTTATTATAAAAATTACATACGAATTTTTAAAAAAATACATAACACTCACTATTACCATACAAAATTAATACTAAACAGTCCTGCTTATTATTGTAATAGCATATGCATCATTATTAAGGTGCATCATTATTTATGTTGCTATTATATTTTATTATCTATAATACAATAAGTATATACTATAGTTTCTATATATAATTTTAGATTATTAATGAATTTATAACTAAATGACCACAAATATTTTGTGAATTGGATCATGAAAATATTGTTTTCAATTCTCTATATCCAGAATTTACATGAGGTATATTTTTAGTTTAATTTATTTTTACAATCAGTAGTTCAGATTTGGTTGTACCATATACACAGCACATTTTATCCTTAATTGTTGTTATACTACATTGATTGTTGTTTTTGTGAAAAAATGATAATTAGATTGTGGTCATTAGATTGATAATGATTCCGGATGATGAATTCATTATCAAAGTAATGCTGTTCATATTGAATTTTTCGAATCTATTATATACAGTGATCTTGACTTAGAATTTTCAAAATTAGATTGTTAAATTTTTTCTACGTTTGTATCTAACAAATTTCATTTTTTAAACAATTATGATGTTTAATTCATTCCTCTTATGCATACGTCTGTTATAATATATGGAAGTTAGGTATATAACTAATTCTTGTTTTCATGCCTTTTTTTTACCAATCCATTTTTAACAACAGAATCAAAATATAATATAAATATACTTTCGACATTTTAATAAATTATTTTTATTTTTATTTTTCCCGACGGCAGTTGTCACTTTTACAAATTTAGTGTGCAAGTCGCGAACCACGGACTAAATGGGATTTACCTGCAAAACAGAGCGCACAATATTCGTTGTATCATGTGCACAGACAATTGTTTCAAAGTTCAAGTGCTGAATGCTACCTTTACTATCAAGCACCCACAGACTTCCTTAAAGAGTACACAATGGCATAATCAGCAAGAAGAGAGGAGATAGAATGCGAACTTTAAAAGAGTAAAGCACACCCTCTTACCAATTACGATCCTGTAAATCAGAAATAAAACTTGAAGCAAAGGACGAAAACTTCGTCGCAGTTTCTCCCGCCATGTTTTTCAACGCTGAAATATCCTGTGAGGCCTGGACAACCATGACATGATTAAGTCTTCTGCTGACTGCGTTACAAAAGGGTCAACAATGAGCTCCAGTCTGCCCCTCAATAAGCAAGAGTTCAGATCAATGCCTCAAATAGTTGCCTGAAATTGAGGTCGAAACAGTCAGTGCTAGATCCTCCAAAAAGGATCATCGCAACCGTCATGGACTGTTGAACCGTTAACTTTTTGGACCATTAAAATCTGTAACATTCTCATTAACTACAGATTGCAGAACTTTTGAGTGAGCACTGGTAAAAGAACAAAAATACTTCCGAACACTCAACCAGTTCTGACATCCAGTTCACAAACATAAAATTATTCATTACCTGATATGTGAGCTTAGACATGAGCTCACTTGCAGTCGCATCAATAGAACTATCAGGTGAACCAACTTCTTCACGGTCAAAATAGGCAGCACTAGATATAGCGGACGAGTTCTGCAAATAGAAACGACCACCAAATTATCATATCACGCTCCCCTTCTGCTCGAACATGTAACACCCACACCAATCAGAAGACTTCAATTCAGTCTTGCGTCAACTACGACCACTGCTGACAAAGGCATGCTAACAATGAACAGTGAATGAAAACTTATAGCGAATTTCTGTAGACAACCAGAATTTGCCGTGTCACTGTTTTTATTATGATCGTCAAAGTATTGTGCAGAAGAAATAGATTTAGCATTGGCAAATTTCTTCTGTACTTCATGGCGGTCATCAAGCTGCAATCAAGAGCCTACGTTTATGAAATAGAGAATTAAAGAGAGAGATCTTCGTGAGCATGCCGACGCGCGACGAAACTATTTGTGGATATTTTATTTTCTGAAAAAGGAGAAATATGATTTGTATTTGTAATTTTCATGGAAGTAATAATGAAAAAAAGGGGATCTTATGTGTGAAATTCAGTTGATTGATCACATCAAAATTCAGCACAACTAATTCATAACTGCACTTGCTTACAGAATCAGATTGAGTAATTTACCCATGCCTTAGTACGTCCACTGTCGAAAGAGGATTTCATTGAAGATCCTCCACACTCTGAGAAGAAATCAGCATTTGTTGAGGGGGCAGCTACATGGCTAGAGTTCGAGTTTTTGTGATCAGAGTTATTGCATGCTTGATTATCATCCATGTACAAAAATCGCGATGACAGTGGGGCTGGCTTCAAAGTTTCTGCAGGCAAAGGTGCTGGTGCTGTTGTTTGTACCTCAGCCGGCTTTTGATCATAAATATCTTCATTGGGCTGCACACGTATAAAGAAAAGTACAAGAGCTCATTTGTAGTCGCAAAACACGGCAAATGAACTATGTTCATGCTTCAAGCTTCAGAACTACATGTACCTTAGTAATAAGTTTCTTCACTCCAAGACTTCCAGATTTGACTGCACCAATTCTCTTAGCTCCAATTGATGAAGATAGCTTCCTTGTTGGAATGCTACTTAGTCGTGTATTAATAACTGGGGTAGGTGAGGAAGAAATGGAAGGAGCAGACTTAGGTCCAGACGAAGGAGCAAGTGTCGGGCTCGAAATCTCTTTTGGGTGTCGTATGCTAAAGTGATTCTCCAATTTGGTGAACGAAGCCTCATCTGGCGACTTCTGAGGAATGCTGCAAGTCGCAGAATCAACACTCTTGGCCACTTCTTTGGCCAGGAGCTGGCGGTAGAGGTCTGCTACCCTGGAGGTGTACTTTGCTTCGACACGTCCTCCTTCTATCCAACCGTGCTGTTTGAAGAACGCGTGTGCCCGGCCATTGCCACTCAAGCTCATCAACTTCAATTGGTCTTGGTTCCAGCTGTCCAAAGTAGTGGATCTGGTTCATTCCCATCACCATCCAGATAAAAAGGTAAGCTGCCGCAAGCGTCTAAAACATACAATGTTTAAAACACAGTCAAGATCCTCTCATGATAACACCAGATATTCACCTGACAAAGCTGATGTGCACACCGAGACTACGATGTGTTGCTGAGCAGTCCAGGCATATAAGTATTCCAAAAGTTACAGACGCCCAGGTTGGATTCTTGGAATTGCAATCAAAACACATCTGCATCCAACCAGTTTCTTGTAAAGCAGGAGGGACATCTAATCACATTCCACAACCAAACCCTGCCTCAAATACCTGCATCGGTAAGCCACAAACGAAATGCCTTCATCTTCATATTCAAATTCGAAAACTTTCGAACGCTAAAACACTATTAAAAATATAAATGCCACATAGCATACTCAAGGAGATTATGAAGGAAGGATATCAATACATACGCACTGAATTTAGTGCTAGCTATAGAAATTCCTGAATGCTGATCGCTACAATATTCACGTCATTTAAGATCGGTATCAGCTGATTCATATGGGGCCATTGGGTTTAGATTTACAATCAGTCAACCATCGTAAATCCTCGGTCGTGTACTGTGCGATGAAAACCTTCTACCTTGCTATGTGCGGAGAGGCACATTGATGCCAGTAGGAAAAAATTGTACAGTGCCGAAAAAGTGGAATGAAAAATGTTGATTAAATCGTGATAATTTGTCATAACAATCAAATACTAAGCCTTTAGAGCTAAATCGGAGAATGAAAGAACTAAAGAAAGCATAAATTTTAATTTTAAATCATACCACACTCGAGTGAATTGAAAGATGAAAATATCAACACAAGTTGGAGTGCCAAAGTTACGCGTGTGAGCAACATAAATGCTGCAAACCAAGACCATCTAGCGTGCGCCTCGGGTTGGATGTGAATTGCGCAAAAATTAACTACTGTAAAATGACAAACGACATAAGTTCAAAACACAGCAAAAGTCAAGTGTAAGCTAAGAACCAGCGTCTTACCTTGTTTTCCGACCTGGTCTTGATTTTCCGAAACAACACATCGCGATCCAACACGTCCTCGGACCCCATGTCGACGCGCAATCCGCCGCAAATCAGCTCCCCGTCGATCAGTCCCCGCCAGAAAAGCTCAATGCCCTACCTCACACAATACTCCCCGGCTCCTCCTAAAACGAAGGCAAAACTTGTACCTCAGTATCCGTCATGTGGCACGGATATGTCAAGAGTCGATTTAGTCATTGCACTGTACACCTCAAAGGTTCCAAGACTTCCAGTTAAAGAAATCAAAATCAAAATACAGCTCGCCCGCTACCAACAGGCTTCCAAGCACCCGAGATCCAATCAAGATCCACAATTATCTGGTTTTGTTCACAAGAAACTCCACGAAAGCTGAATACAATATGGAAAATGCAAACCTCATAGCGGCTTCCGGAACTCAATAGAACGAATGCAAGCAGAGATCCAACCTGCACATTGATGATTAAAACATGGACATCGACATTGAAGGCTTCGCAGGCTGTGTGTGTGTGTGTTGCCGACGCACGCACGCAGGAAGAAAGTGTGAAGCAGAGAGGGCGAGGGGGAGTGAGAAAGGGAGAGAGAGCCATGAATGAGTGAGTGAGTGAGTGGAGGCCCCAAAGGCTGGCTGGCTGGCTGGTAGCGGGGGTGGGCTCCCCCTCCCTCATTCACGTGTGAATGCCTTGCCCCCGCCGCCCTCCCTGCCCTGTCTCATGGAACTGAGTGCGTCGGTCCCTCCCTCCGTCCCTCATTATTGAGAGAGCAGGCTTTATGATTCCCTATTCTAATGCCAATTGCATGGCTCGGTATCTCCCCTCACCTCCCCTCCCCTCCATTACCGGGTCCTCCTCTTCATGAGTGCCCCCCCCCCCCCTCCCATAAAAGCAATCCCACAATATTGCAACTGGAAAAGGGTAAGATAAGCAAATTAGTCGCTAAGAGGTTACCAAACAACATATATATATATATATATATATAGATAATAAAAAATAAAATCAAGGGTAGCCAAATGTGGTATTAGAGCTATTAAATGTTCTATTATGAGAAACTTTTATGAGGGTGTTGGTTGTAAAAATCAACAAGTAGTTCAATAAAGCAATATGAAGCATCACAAAAATGACAGTAAAGCCTGAGATACATTGAGATAGGACCTTACAACAAAAAAGAAGTAATACAGACCATTGATAAAAATATGCATAAAAAATAGTTTCAAAACAACTACTCAAGAAAATAAATCACTTGTCAAATGCTTAAATTGAAGAAAAAGAGGCAACATTCTACATGAAAAATATAGAAAATACCTCCATTTTTTTAATAAAAATAATGATTAGTTATTAGAAATAAGAAAAGAAGTTAATTTTTTCTATATTCTTCACTAAATATTTAAAAAATAAAAATAATTCAAATATTTAAACTATATATATATATATATATATATAAGAATGTTAAAGCAACCCAGGCTTTCACTAAATCAATCATCCCCATCCCCCCATTCCCAACCCCTCGTCCCCTGTCCGGACCTCCCCGTCCCCGTTCCCGGCGCCCATCCCCAAGGCCCCCCCCCGGCGCAGCCTCGGATTTCATGTTCAATTTTTTAGGCGGAAATTGTCCTGTGAGGTGATTGTGTGAGAGGTCCAACTAATCCAGCTGCGAAAGGCTGCCAATCTCATCGGCTATTTCTCCCGTGAAAGGATTTCCTTGCAGATCAAGGAACGATAACCCGGAAAGGTTGCCAATCGTTGTGGGAGTGTCGCCGCTGAATTGATTGTAGCTCAAGTTGAGTTTCTGCATTTGATGTCACACGTAGCTTTCCGACAAGGGATCATGAATGGTTCCCGAGAAGCAATTCAGCTACAAACTGAGCCCTACAACAAAAATAAGGTTTGACAGGGCGACAAGTATCACTCCACCCAACTGAGTCAAACTCAAATTAAGGATGGACAACCCTGTCAAATTCCTGAGCGTCTCTGGAATTGCGCTTGTGAGGTGGTTGTTCATCATGTTCAGCAATCATCTTCCTAACTGAAGGAGAAACACTCCCGCAGAGCTGGTTGTTTGAGAGAAGAATCTGAATCAGCGACTTCGAACCCCACAACTCCTCGAGGATGGTGCCAGACAGGTTGTCCCCCCCCCCCCCCCCCCCCAGTGACAGAATCATAAGCTTCGGTGAGTCCGGAAGTGGCCCACTGAGCTCGTTGAAGGTAACATCAAGAATCTTGAGCTCGGTATAGCTTACTAGAGACGCCGGAATGGAGCCATTGATCTCGACGTTGGGATCAATGAGAGAGAGACCAAGGAGATTAGAGAGAGATTGGAATCTTCATTTTGGCGGGAATCACAACCTCCGCATGATAATGGTTACAAACATCCGCAGAGACTCCAATTACAAAGTAAAAACCCAATAAGACACTCAAATCGCTAATAGTAGTCGTGGATCTATTAGCCCATAGAATGCCTCCCCCTAAAAGATTGAAATTGCATCTATATCTCTCACAATCTACATACGTTGAACCCAACTTTCGACTGTCAAATAATGCGAGAACAACAGACAAATTCTCACCTAATGAAGAATCATGGGTTTGTTGGCAAAATCCACCAGGGATTTACGCACACTCAAAGTGAGTGGCCTCAGTCTGGTACCAAAACCACTAACCAACATCGTTGTGGTGACGGAGGGTAATCAGCTTATATAAGTCTCCTAAAAATGCCACAAGGTTATAGTCTTATTGTCTTTCCTAAATCCAAGTTGTTACACACCATATGGGTATTACAAATATACCAATAGAAGTAAAGATAAGAAAAATTATGTAGATGTAAGTAGAATTAAGTAAATTTAATAATGTCTTACAAAGAAGTTTTTTCAGAAATTTCATAGATTTAGAATTGATTTTTCAAGTATTTGTAGGTAATTGATAGGTTAAAAAATTTGCTAATAAGTTGGCTATATATTGCACATATTGACCACTTACCTTACAAGTTGGCCATATATTGCATATATTGGATATTTATTGTATAAGTTGGCCGTGTAGCATATATATTGGAAACTTGCCTTAAAAATTAGATACATATCTTATAAGTTAGATACATGTCAAATAACCTATAAAATGTTGCCATGAAGTTTCTAAGTTAGATAGTATATATAAAGGTAAGAATGACACCTCTTTCACTCTTGTCAATGCATTTCTTATATTCTTATCTCAGCTCAAAAATATCTAATATCTTTTTATTTAATAATAGCTATTATAATTTTTTATCTTATATCTATCTTTGATTTGTTTATTTTTTTTAGTATTAAAAGAACATGTTATTTTGTTATGGTTTTGTTATAATTTAGGTCTTTAATAGTTTGATAAGAGTACTAATTAATTATTTTTGTTTTTTTTTTTAAAAGTGAATAGATTATTTTATTTATTATTATTTTGATTAAAAGTTTTTTTTAAGGAGATGGAAAGAAAAATTATAGATATTGTACTTGATAGAAGTAAAAATAGATTTATAACTATTGCATATCTTGATGATGTCGTGTTGTAACAAGACTATATGGTGAAAGATGATAATATGGATCTTATTATAGAAGAGCCAAATTAAAAGAAAAAGTAAAAAAATATGGATAAAAGATAGGAAGGTAGTAAAACTTTTAGTAGTAATGCTGGCCTTTTAGAAAAAATAGCTTCTACTTACTTTGTAGGACCAAAAATAAGGCAAAATAAGGTAGATGAGAAAAATAAATGATATAAACATCTTTAGAAGGAAGTTAAGAGTAAATTCTAGTAAAAATTACTTAAAAAAACTAGATATTGGTACCCAAGGAGGGCAGGTTATCAACTTGGGTCAAAATCAGACCCGAGGCACAAAACCGAGTACCTACGGCAAATCGAAGACTCTTTGGTAAATTGGAGAGTGGGATTTGATAGAAGATTGAATAGGGTTTCTATAAGCATTGGTTTTGGGTGATTTGGATCTGTATTCGCTTTGTAAGAGCTTTACAAAGTCAAGATTTGTTTTAGATGACTTGGGTTTTATGAAATACAATAGGGTTTACATTTTGAGTGATTTCAAGAGTTTTGTAATAGATCTACAAGTGAAATTTTGTGAGTTCATGGTTGTAGTTGTATTTAATATATGTTGTGAATTTAAGCTCGATCTAACGGTTGAATTGAGAATTATTGAGGTTTTAGTGGATCAAGGTCTCAATAAGTAGAATTTTAGGTCTAGTAAGGGTTTTTAAGATTTCTTGCAATCTACTAGTTGGATTGGAATGAAATTTGTGTGAGAGGATATAAGACTTGCTTTTCTATGTATTTGAGAATTTTGAAATCAATCAAACGATGAAAAGGAGAGATATTGGCTTTGGGAGATTGACATCAAGGTTGGAGAAGGAGGCCTGCCAATACCTGAGCACATTTTTGAGGTTATCGTCTATTTAGTAATTCCGATCCTTTTCAAATTTTTTGTGCTTGTTTTTAACTTATTTTTTAAGAAGTGTGCAAAGTTTGAATTAAGATCAACAGTTTATTCATTAGTTATTGAGGTTTAAATCTATTATAGGAATTATTAGGGTTTGATTAGGGATTGGTTTAGGGTTTAGAGTTTGATTAGGATTTGATTTAGGATTTAGGATTTGATTTAGAATTTGGTTAGGATTTGATTTAGGATTAGAATTTGGTTAAGGTTTGATTTAGGATTTAGGGTTTGGTTTAGGGTTTGGTTTAGGGTTTGGTTGGGATTTGGTTTAGATTTCAGGATTTGGTTTAGGTTTAGGATTTGATTTAGGATTAGGATTTGATTAGGATTTTGTTTAGGATTTGAGGTTTGGTTTCAAGTTTGGTTAGGATTTCATTTAGGGTTTGGTTAGGGTTTGGTTTATGGTTTGGTTAGGATTTGATTTAAGATTTGGTTGGGATTTGGTTTAAGGTTTGTTTAGGATTTAGAGTTTGATTTAGGATTTAGGATTTTATTAGGGTTTAAGATTTAATTAGTTTTGTCTTAAAGTTTGAATGAAGTCCAATAGGATTTTAACTAGAATTAAATTAAGATTGAATTGAGATATATTTGAGAGATATTTGTGATCATTCTAATATTTCTTTAAGATTTCTTATTATTTCTTTGAAATTTCTTTGAGGTTTTTTTGAATTTGATTAAAGCTTGCTTAGCATTATTATGGTCTAATTAGAGCTTAGTTAGTATTCTATTATAGTTAGGATTTTGTTGTTGCAATTTCCATTCTATCTTCCATAGACAGGTGCTCGGAGCATTTTCAAGCAAGACTTCATGTATTACGACAACGCGCTTGTCAACATTGATAGATATAGATTTGATTTTAGACATGTTTGAACTTGATTGATAGATCAGAAACTTAACCGACAAATTGAATACATATTGTACAAATTGATGATTTGTGGTACAAGTTAGTTATGTGGTGCACATGAATGAAACTTGATGTGCAAATTAAATATATGTCTCATAAGTTAGACACATGTCAGAGATCCTATAGAACATTTTCATATAGCTCTTAATTAAATAAAATATATTGAAACAAGAGTGAAGCATTTTTTATTCTTATCAATGCATTTCTTGTTCCTAGACTAATTTCAAAAGTCTTTAGTCTTCTTTTTTTAGAATAGCTATTTTTATCTTAATAGTATATTATTTTTAAGTAATTGTCTATTCTTTTTAAGTGACATAAGAATATATTGATTCT